TGGATAAATAAAAGGAAGGAAAGAAGGATAGATAAAAGGAAGGAACAAAGGATAGATAAAAGGAAGGATAGATAAAAGGAAGGAAGGATGGATAAATAAAAGGAAGGAAAGAAGGATAGATAAAAGGAAGGAACAAAGGATAGATAAAAGGAAGGATAGATAAAAGGAAGGAAGGAAGGAAGGAAGGACAGATAAAGGGAAAGAAGGAAGGTTAAATAATAGGAAGGATAGATAAAAGGAAGGAAGGAAGGATAGATAAAAGGAAGGAACGAAGGATAGATAAAAGGAAGGAAGGAAGGATAGATAAAAGGAAGGAAGGAAGGATAAACAAAAGGAAGGATCGATTAAAGGAAAGAAGGAAGGATAAATAATAGGAAGGATAGATAAAAGGAAGGAACAAAGGATAGATAAAAGGAAGGAACAAAGGATAGATAAAAGGAAGGAACGAAGGATAGATAAAAGGAAGGAAGGAGGGATAAATAAAAGGAAGGAAGGATAGATAAAAGGAAGGAACAAAGGATAGATAAAAGGAAGGATAGATAAAAAGGAAGGAAGGAAGGAAGGAAGGACAGATAAAAGGAAGGAAGGAAGGATAGATAAAAGGAAGGATAGATAAAAGGAAGAAAGGAAGGATAGATAAAAGGAAGGAAAGAAGGATAGCTAAAAGGAAGGAAGGACAGATAAATAAAAGGAAGGATAGATAAAAGGAAGGAAGGACGGATAAATAAAAGGAAGGATAGATAAAAGGAAGGATAGATAAAAGGAAAGAAGGAAGTTTAGATAAAAGGAAGGATAGATAAAAGGAAGGAAGGAAGGATTGATAAAAGGAATGAAGGATAGATGGAAGAAAGGAAGGATAAAGGGAAGGAACGAAGAATAAAAGGGAGGATGAAATACCAAAACTCTAAAACAGGAAACAAGTTGGACGGAAAGAAAAGAGGAAAACTTGTGTTTGAGCAAGAAAAGAAAAATAACCTCAAGATTGAAAAAAAAAATTCTTTTAAGAAAATAAATCCAAACCAAAACATCCACAAGAAAAATACATAAAACATGCAGTCAATCAAAAAAAAAACCTTCCTCCTCCAAACATCTTTTCTCTTTGCTTGACCTTGTTTCAAACAAACCACAGAGTTGAGAGGAGGTGATTGTATAAATCCTTCATTCAGCAGGCAGAGCGTCACTGTCTGCTGCTGCTGCTGCTGCCTGAATATTCCCAGTTCATTCCACTCAGTTAGCAAAATCAGGCTTTTCTACAGAAACCTGCAGAGGGAGGAAAGTTAAACAAACAAAAGCGCTGATGTTTGGATTCTACCTGATAGGATCATAATACATGCAAACAGAAGTTCCTGCACAGCTTAGAC